CAGTCCAAATTTGCTGCAAGGGACAGTAGCACTCTAACAGTGTTTAGCTTAGCTACCGGTGAGAAAGTCTCCTGGTAATCAACTCCATATGTTTGAGTATAACCTTTCGCTACTAACCTCGCCTTGTATCGTTCAATAGACCCATCGGCCTTGTGTTTGATAGAGAACACCCATTTGCAGCCCACAGTTCTTTTTCCTTCAGGTAACGGAACGAGAGCCCATGTATTATTTTTTAGCAGTGCCTCCATTTCTTCTTTTATAGCTCGGGTCCAATTTGGATTTTCCAGAGCCTCGTGGACACTGGTGGGAATTTTACACATGGATAGATCATGCGTGAATTTCTTAACCGGATCAGATAGTCTCTTAGTGGAGACATAATTAGCGATTGGATACTTCACCTTTCGTCCTTCAAATTCTGGAGAGTAACGATTTGGTGGCTTGCCACGATTGTTCCTGGTTGGTAAAATATATCCCACAGAAGTATCTACATCAATATTATGTATGGGAGTAGTAGAAGTGCTTACCTCATGGGTATTCTCAGAAGATGATTCGGGTGGTACTTCAGAGAGAGGGGATATGCGTTCGGTAGATTCAGTCTCATGATCTGCACTGGGACATATATTAGGCTCTGCAATATCAGCATCATCATTCTGATCTTCTGAATTGTTGGGCTCAGTTTGATCAAGCAAATTCTGAGCAGAGTTGTCAAGCTCTTGGCTGGCCAAGTTCAACTCATTTGGTTCTTGGCTAGCCAAGTTCAAATCATTTGGTTCCTCATATCTAAACCATTTCAAGTCTTCATCATGTGACTCCCCCTGAAGACGAGAATTAGGTGCCGAGAAAAACATATCGGTTTCCAAAAATTGCACATCCATAGTCACATAGAGTCGTCGGGTGGCAGGATCATAGCACCGATATCCTTTTTGATGTATGCCATAGCCTAGAAAAATGCATCGCACTGCACATGGGTCAAGCTTAGTTCGTTGGTTCTTATGGAGATGCACATATGCCACACACCCGAATACCTTAGGAGGTAACATCAAAATTGTGGGAAGCGACACATATGTGGACAAAGATTGAAGTGGAGTCTTGAAGGACAGAACCTTGGACGGCATTCGATTAAGAAGGTGGACTGCGGTAGAGATGGCGTCAGTCCAAAAACGTTTGGGCATATGAGCACCAACGAGAAGGGCACGTGCAGTCTCAAGGATGTGTCGATTTTTCCTCTCCGCGACCCCATTTTGCTGGGGTGTTTGTGAACATGAAGTTTCGTGGATCAGACCATGGTGATTAAAATAGGCTTGAAATTGTTTATTGACGTATTCACCACCATTATCCGAGCGAAGAACTTGAATGGTTGCACTGTACTGAGTACGGACCATAATATGGAATTTTTCAAAGATACTGAAAACTTCATCTTTGTGTTTCATTAAGTAGAGCCACGTCATACGGGTACAATCATCCACAAATATAACAAACCAACGAAAGCCCGACATATTAGAGATAGGCGAAGGGCCCCATACATCCGAGTGTATTAATGCAAATGGAGTGTCACTTTTATTCATGCTCGATCGAAAAGTAGTTCTATGACTCTTAGCCGAAATACAAGTGTCACATTTCAAATCAGAAATCTGTAAATGCTTAAACAAATCTGGAAAAACATGCTTCAAATACGGAAAAGACGGATGGCCCAATCGGCAATGCCAAAGCCAAAGTTGGTTTTCTTGAGTAGCCTTCGGATGGTGCATATGATGTGCCTGACCAATACTGACGTCATCCATATAGTATAGTCCCCCTCTCTTAGTACCACTCCCAATTATCTCCTTTGTGAGAATATCCTGAAGAAGACAAAAATTTGGATATATGAGTATAACACACCCTAGATCGGTAGTAATTTGACTGGCGGATAATAACTTATGTGAAAGAGATGGAACAAGTAAAGTGTCGGTTAAATGCAGCAATGGAGATAAAGATACAGTGCCCGCTCCAGTGACCGGAGAAATAACATTGTTAGCATTGGCTACGCTTGTGCGTCGTGGTACAGACGTTACAAAAAAATCTGTGGCATCAAAGGTCATATGATCTGTGGCTCCGGAATCAAGAAGCCATGCATGACGTTCCGAGTCAATATCAGAAGTAAAGTGGGCAAGTCCAGAGATACCTGAATTCAAGGTAGAAGAATTATCCGTGGATATTTTTGTTGGTTGTATGAGAGAAAGGTGCGGTTCTGCAGCAGCAATAGCAACTTTGCCTTGTTCTCCATTTGTATCGCGTCGTTTACGAGCTTGAAGCTCATTCCACCAATTTGGATATCCATTCAATTGAAAGCAATTTTCACGAGTGTGTTTTTGATTTCCACAGTGCGAACATTTGAGAGGCTCAGCGGAGATGCGTGTTTTTGCAGATCTTCCACGCACAGAGTGGCCCAACGTGAGCGCTTTGGAAGCCAAAACAGCCCCCTGAGTTCCATTCGTATCATGGTTGACCATCACCTGTTGTCGAATAGCCTCTCGTCGAACATGGGCATATGCCTGTTCAAGCGTGGGGAATGGTTTCATCTGTAAAACATCCCCTCGTATTTTGTCGAGCCGATCATCAAGACCATCCAAGAAAATATAAACACGATCTTCCTGGATAAGTCGATTATAGTGTTGGATATCAATGCTGCATTCCATGGGGTTTGGTCGGCGAAAATCTATCTCACGCCATAAACCTTGTAGATCAGTATAGTACTTTTCAAGAGAGCCGGCGTTTTGCTTCATACGAGTTACACGTCGTCGCAAATCGTACACCTGCGATGCATCACTTCCATCGAAAAATGTAGTGGCAATTGCATCCCAAACCTCTTTTGCCGTAGGAAAGCGAATAAAATTACCGATCAAAAAGGAATCCATGGAAGTAATCAACCATCCTTTGACAATGGCGTTATCAGTGCGCCACTTCCGAAACGACGGATCGGTTTGTGGTGGAGGGGGGTAGTCACCATTTATATATCCCAGTTTGTCTTTGCCGGAGATATACATCTCGACGACCTGGGACCATAGAGCATAGTTGGAGCCGTCCAACTTAATGCCGATCGGAGCAGCAGATGTTTCGGTGGTTATTGTGGGAGACTGAGTTTTGTTCAAGGCCTCAGTCATCCTGGTAGTTAATTCAAGAATAGATTCAGATAAGGTGGACGTGTTGGTGGGGTTATTCAGATCGCCGGAGTCATCCATGGCAAAAAAAAATAAAAAATAAAAGTAGGGTTATTGAGCGGCCAGAATTTGTGTGGCTCGTGATACCATGTTAAAATAATCTCTCTTTTTCATATATCATAACTCATTCTGTACATCTCTTTATATAAGAAAAAACTATATGCTCTAAGAAATATATATATGGATATATACTAATTATTGCTACAATCAAGTTAATTCCCTGAGTCACGGGATTCACACACTAAAGAAATCACTACAATCTCTCTTGACAGCTCACGCCAACAAAACACACATATGAAGAAGGGGGTAAACAACATAAAACTCCCCTGTGTTAAGGAAAACTTGCACGAAACCCCCCTGTGTTTTTTTTCTTGCGTAAAACCCCCTTGTGTTTTATTTTATTTTGCACGAAATCCCCTTTTCCGTTAAAAGTTAACACCGTTAGCTATAAATGGGTTTTTATGCAAGTTTTTTGTAACATAGGGGGATTTGGTGCATATTTTCTACAACACAAGGGAATTTTATGCAAAAATTAATTTATTTGTTTAAATTTCATATTATTTTCTAAAATTAAATTGAAATCATTTATTCAAATACAATATGAAAAATAAAATTTAAAAGGTGTGGTGAATATTTTTTTTTAAATCAATTTTTATATGATATAATTTATTAATGTATGCATTTTGAATTTTTACATTATATAATTATTTTATTAGAATTATTATATATGTGTATAATTTATTCTTGATTAATTATATGTGAAAAGAACATAAATAATTTGAGAATTTATTCCAACTTCCATCTCGAGTATTATTTTCTTAATTCCATATTTTAAATTAATAGATATATTCGACTTAATTTAAGAAAATAATTTAAATTTTAAACAAATAAATTATTTTTTGCATAAAATCCCCATGTATGGTAGAAAATATGCACCAAATCCCCCCTATGTTACAAAAAAACTTGCATAAAACCCCATTTATAGCTAACGGTGTTAATTTTTAACGGAAAGGGGATTTCGTGCAAAATAAAATAAAACACAAGGGGCTTTTACGCAAGAAAAAAAATACAAGGGAGTTTCGTGCAAATTTTCCTTAACACAGGGGGGTTTTATGCTATTTACCCTGAAGAAGGGGATAACGAAATGAAGTGAGAATGAAAATTTTAAAATCGTCAAAGGCAAGGTGAAAATTGTCATTTAACCAATTGAATTTAGGCTTACATAGGGGACTATCTAGAAAGGAAGATCAGAATAATTTTGCATCTAAAATCATAGCGACCTGTAATTTAACCAGGGGCCAATATACAAATTAACCCCAAATAATATTAACATTAATTCCACTATAATTGTTAGGGCAACTTTCATTTTCCCCCATTTACTTTAAATCGGTGTCATTTTACCCCTTCTATTCTCGATTGCATCTGCCCCTGTACTTGAAAAATTGTTTCAATGTGGTCGTCGTTGTTAGTTGTTCAGACATTTTTTGTCTAATCTCTGAAATTACAAAAACGCCACCCTCCCATTTTAAATAATTATTAAAAAAAAAAAAAAAAAATCAAGACAAAAAGAAAGCATAGACCACAACGGCCACCACGATTTATTTTTATTTTTTTTAGTTTTTCTTTTATAATTATTTAAACTGAGAGGAGTGGCTATTTTGTAATTTTCAGACCTTTGTTGAGGTCAAATGTTTGAAAACTAACGGCGATGGCTTCATTGAGACAATTTTTCAAGTGCAGGGGTCAAATCGATGCAATCGAGAATAGAAGAGGGTAAAGTGATATCGAGCCAAAGTATTAGGGGGAAAAGTGAAATTTACCCAAATTTTTATTTATATTTTTTTTGGGCCCATTGTTAAGTCAATGATCTTTTGATATTGGAAATTAACATGTCAGTCCAATCCACATTTCCAAGTCAATTCTTTAACTTCCCCAATTGTAAACTACTTCCCCTTTCTTCCTTCACCTTCTTCATTCTCTACTATATTATAAGCAACAAACTTCACTAAACATGTAAGTAAACAAACTCATACTTCAAATTTTTTGAGCTTCACCTTGTTTTTAAACAATCAGAAAATGGCGATAGACGGGCTCCTAATTCGACCGACCACACCCCGTAAATCCACAAATCATCACTTCTCTCCTACAAAGTTTCCACAAACAACATTCTCCGAATCAATGATGCAAGAGAACATCGAAAACGCAGAAACCCTCATCACCAAATGGGATCCAAACAGCCCTTCCTTTGATAAGAAATTCACCTCACTCTTCCACGAAAATCGAAACGAGGCGAACGAATTCACCAAATCCGTAGGGGAGCTTCGGAGGGCAATGCATTTCTTGGTCGCCCAACGCTCCGATTCCAATAACCGTAAGCTCGTCCTCGCAAACAAGTTGATGAAAATTGCCATGCTTAGGCTCGAGAAGGAATTCTACTACATCCTATCGATCAACAGGGATTGCTTGAATCCCGAATCGGTTTCGAACAGATCTTCATTGTTTCTTTCACGATCGTTGTCTTTAAGTAATTCAGACGATGAGATTCAAGAATTAGACCGTGTTGAGTCGAAAGCTGAAAGAGCTATGGCGGATTTAAAGGCGATTTCAGAAACTATGATTAGCTCTGGATATAGCAAAGAGTGTAGCAAAATATACAGACTCACAAGAAAGTCGATAACCGATGAAGAACTGTACCGACTCGGGATCGGAAGCTACAGCCAATCACAAATCAACAGGATGGATCAAAGGGCTCTCGAGCACCAAGTTGACAGGTGGATTGATAGAGCAAAGGTTGTGGTGAGGACGCTTTTCCGCGGGGAGAGGCTGTTGTGCGATCACGTGTTTGCCGTCTCTGAGACAATTAAACAAACATGTTGCGCGCATACCACAATGGAAGGTGCGATGAACCTGTTCAAATTCCCTGAATTCGTGGCTAAGAGCAAACGATCGCCGGAGAAGATTCTGGTTATGATGAATCTTTTCGAAACAATCTCGGATATGTGGCCGGAAATCGAGTCCATCTTCTCGTACGAGTCTCTCTCCCCTGTGAAGCTACAAGCTCTTTCCGCGATGCACAAGCTCGGCGACTCTGCTCAAACGATTATTTCGGAGTTCGTCTTGTCGGTGCAGAAAAACTCGTCGAAAACGGTGGTCTCGGGCGGTGGGGTCCACCCGCTGACGTGTTCGGTGATGAGTTACGTTGCTCTACTGGCGGAGAACAGCGGAGTGCTCTCAGATATTCTAAACTCCGACGAAGAAGGGGAGAGGGCGGCGCAGTCGCCTTTTCCGGAGTCGTACTTCGACGGCAGCCCGACGGCTCCGGCCACCGGAGTATCGAGCCGGCTGGCGTGGATCGTACTCGTGCTTCTCTGCAAGCTCGACAGCAAAGCTGAGCTGTACAAGGACATCGCGCTGTCGTATCTGTTTCTGGCGAACAACATCCAATTCGTGGTGGAGAGAGTGAGCACCACGGCGGTGAAGCTCCTGCTAGGGGAGGAGTGGCTGTCGAAACTGCGGAAGAAGGTGAAGCTGTACGCGGCGAACTACGAGGCGGTGGCGTGGGGGAAAGTGGTGTCGTCTCTGCCGCCGCCGCCGGCAGCGGAGGAGAACGAAGAAGAATCATCGGCGGCGGCGGCGCGAAATGCAACAATCAAAGGACATTTCAGGAGATTCAACTCGGAGTTTGAGGCGGCGTACAGGAAGCAGAGGGCGTGGGTTGTTGCAGATCCGAAACTCGCGGAGGAGATAAAAGTGTGGATAGAGAGAAAAGTGGTGGCGGCGTATCGGGAATTCTACGATAACAATTTGGGGATACTGAGTGGGGAGATGGATCTAGAATTTCTGGTGAGATATTCGCCGGATAATTTGGGGAATTACTTGTCGGGATTGTTCCATAACCATACGCCTGCTCTGGTTTCCGGCAACTCTTCTTCTTCCTCCTTTGATTATTCTTCTCAGTCCAGATTGTACCGATGTCTTTGATCATCATCATCATCCCACGGCGGCGCCGTACTACAAATCAAATCAACCGCTCCTTTCTTCAGAATTTGCTATATTTAATAATTTGGCCAAATCTCATTAATGGTCCCTCATCTTCATTTTTAGTCTCACTTTAACCCCTCATGTTTCAATTGTCTCATTTTCATCCTTCATCTCTATAATTCATCTCATTATCATCCATTGGTGTTTAGACCTGTTAATTTTAACGGAATCTTTTTAATAACGGATTGAATATTCCATTGTTAGAATTATTTTTGACAAATTGTGACTTTTTTCAATAAATGATAAAATTTGTGATTTAAAATTAATATTTACAGCCAACAAAAATATAACTTTAAAACCTAATATTTTTACGAAATATTAATTTATATTAATATACAATGAATCATTTGTTTTGGATATATGACTTGAAATAACTTGAATTTAGAAACATATTTAAATAATTATAATATATCATCTAGATATATTCTCTATCAAAAATTTATTTATATTTTTTATGATTTTATGTTAATATAACTAATTCCATTATATATATTTTTCTAGTATTTATTAATTTATTTATGATTTATTATAAATAATTATAAGAATATAATATTTCGTCCAATAAATAAAAGATTCCCTTAAAGTTACTAAGTTATACAACAAAGAATTATATTGAAATAGATTGTAGAGTTGAAGGATGATAATGAGAAAATCGGGATACAGTGGACTAAAGTGGGATCAAATACTAGAGTAAACTGCAAATACTACCCCTGTGTTATCTTGAAATAGCGAAAACCCCCCTGTGATAAATAAACTAGCAAAAACCCCCCTCTGAAATTTAGTCAAAGGCAAAATCCCCCCTAGCTGATTTTTTAGACTTGAAATGACAAAATTGTCCCTCAAAATGTATTTATATATATACATATTTTATGTATATTTATTATTTTTAATTTGTTTGTTTAGAAATTAAAAAAAAAATAGTAAACAACTAAATTGATTATTTTTTAAATAAAATAATTAAAATATTTATAAAATATAAGAATTTATTAATTGCAAGACTCCAGGGGTATTTGTGTCTTTTTATATCAAGTCAACCCTCAAATAGTTCCATAGGGGGGTTTTTGCTATTTAAATAATTTCACGGGGGAGGTTTTTGCTAGTTTATTTATCACAGGGGGGTTTCTGCTATTTCGAGATTACACAGGGGTAGTTTTTGCAGTTTACTCTCAAATACTAAGATGATGGACTATTAGTGAGATTTGGCTAATACTTTTCATTTTTCAATTCCTTTTATTTTCTTTTTCTTTTTTTCCTCTTTTTAATATTAAACAAATGTTTCAACCTTCAACAATGTAATCGGTGTTCCATTAAGAATACTATTTGTTGTAGCATGTAAGAGCATCCACAATGGTGCTCTCCAAATTCACTATACATACCATGTACTCTCATTCATCTTTTTTAACTCAATCTCTATAAATAGGTCCCATCTATACACTTTCTAAAATATTTGACTAAATTTTAATCCTCTCTTAAATAGCTCTTTAAATATTAAATTATGCTAAAATATTCATTATTAACATAAAAATTGAAAAAATAAATTTTCAAAATTCATATATTATATAAATCAAATATAATTATTGATTAATTTAATTTTTAAGTTTCCGCTATCTTATCTAATATTTTATAATGTTTAATTATGTTGTGAGTTTCGTTGGCTTATTTATTTTGTCTATTTTCATATACAATGTATTAATTATTAAAAGTTATGACTTATTAAAAAATAACATAAGTATTAAAAACATAAAATATGACAAATAATTGTCATAAAAATATTTGAACATCCCTTCAACTATAGGTATAAACAAATTATAAAACAAAAAATATGAGAATGCTTGGAAACTAATTATTAGAATCCGTAAATGTTGATTTACTTTTTCTAGCACAATTATAATTTCTCTTTGTTGTTCAAGGATCCACGTTTGTTGATCAATAATCTATTTTTTGCCTTCAAATGTAGGTGCTGACTTGTGATCCATCATCATTACGTCTTTCTCAAATCTTTTCTTGTTCTTGTATTTCTGCAATTCTTATCTGCTCAGTTTCTTTTTGAGTTTGTAGTCTCATTTGTTTTGCTTTCATTTTGGCTTGTAAATTTTGTACTCTCTTGTTGTTCTTCTAATGGCTTCTTCCTCTAACTGACTTGAAGCTTCTTTTCTCAAGATCCTCTACAAATAAGTTCATGGAAGGAAAAAAAATTCTTCTTTCTAGAATCTTTTATAGTTTTGCAATCATTAGGACGTGCTTGTCCAGTTGAACCGTGATTAAATAGTTCATCTTCATCAAGACTAACTACTGTTGGAGTCTCTGCAGGGGTGGATTACTCATCTGATGTAGTTTGTGCATTGGACTCTCCAATATTGTCATCATCCAAATTAATTTATGTCCTTTTTGTTTGAGAAGTTTTTTTCTATTTTTCTCGTTGGTCATTAACATCATGGTACTATTACGAAGTGTCCTTCAGAATAAGCCAACAAGAAACCCACTTAAAATAATGATTTTCTTTCTTGAAATATAAATTTTTCGTTGCTCTCATCTACATATAAACTTGAAATATAAAAACTTAACTTCAAAACTGTTTTAAACACACACACACACACCATAATTCTTCCTTTGTGATTTATTTTCAATCTTACCCTTGCACTACTTGTCACGTTTTTTTTTTTTAATAATTATCCAGTATTTTCAAAATCCCTATTAATGAGGCACCTAATCCCGCTAATTAGGATTAATTAGCACAATTTATCTCAATTATTCCCTTTTTTTATCTTTCCATAACAACAATCTAATTCCTAAAAATCTGCTTCTAAATTCTTAAAAATTTGCTATCAAATCAGAAAAAAAAGAACAAATTGATTTTTTTTATTATTTCGGATTTATTTTGTATTTTTTTATTATTTATTATTATGATTTATTTTTTTTAATAAAAATATTTTTTTAAATTTTTTTTAAACAATAAATTGACTTTTTTTTTTCTCGACTTGTTTACTACGCCGAATATGACTATAGTTGACTATATGTGACTATATCAACTGTAGTCATATTCTTTCTTTTTACTGCAGTTTTTACATTTTTAATTGAAAATTCGATTAGTGTGGTACAATTACGTTTACCAAATTATATAAAACAAAGAAGACTGCCTATTGCTTACGAAAACAATCCAATCAACATCCACATAAAAAAATCACAATTTGAATGTTATTATTACAAGTTAACTTGAAACGAAAAGATAGAACATATTTGAATATGACTACAATCATATTCAGCTAAATTCATATTCGAATATGACTACACTCATATTCAGATAATAGTCATATTCGAATATGACTATAGTCATGTTACTGCTGCTAGTTTAGATTTGGAGAAGAAAAAAATATTCGAATATAATTATAGTCATTTTAATGATGCTACTACAAGTTTAGATCTAGAGAAAAAAAATCTAAAATTACAGAAATAGATATAGAAAGTTTAGATCTGGATAAAAAAAATTTGAATATTACTATAGTCATTTTAATGCTGCTAGTTTAGATCTGGAGGAAGAAAAAAATCGAAAAATACAGAAATAGAGATAGAAATATAACGAAAGAGAGGGAGGGAAGAGAGGGAGGGGGAGTCGACGACAAAGGAGGTTGTGACGGTGGTGGTGGTGGACAGTTCTGGAAAAATAAACTGAGAAATCGATAGAGATAACGAAAAAGAGAGAAAAAATCTTACCTAGAGACGAAGGACGCGACAACGGCAACGAGCGGCGACGGGAAATATGCAATTTGCCGCTCATATGGAAAATATTTTGGGAAATATGCATTACACCCCTCAATGAAAAATATTTTGAATTAAACTCAATTGACTTTTAAAGACTTTTCCTACATCCAAATTTCATTCTTAATTAGTGAGACCCCCTTCTACTAGTGTGAGAAGACAAATATACCCTCAACTACTATAACCCTCAACTACTATAACCCTAATTATTTGCCCACATCTATCACTTTCATCTTCTCCACCTCTCCACCTCCCTCAACTCTCTCTGGAAATTCCATCCTTCATCCATTGCCGTAGTCGCTTCCTCCTTCGTCTACACATAAATATTTTTCTCTCTCGTTCTCTCTCTCTCTCTCTCTCTCTCTCTCTCTCTCTCTCTCTCTCTCTCTCTCTCTCTCTCTCTCTCTCTCTCTCTCTCTCTCTCTCTCTCTCTCTCTCTCTCTCTCTCTCTCTCTCTCTCTCTCTCTCTCTCTCTCTCTCTCTCTCTCTCTCTTTCTCTCTCTATCTCACTATCTATATAACCTTACTACTTTTTCCCAAATCTCCCCTCCCCCTCCCTCTCTCTCTCTCTCTCTCTCTCTCTATCTCTCTCTCTCTCTCTCTCTCTCTATCTCTCTCTCTCTCTCTCTCTCTCTCTCTCTTTCTTTCTCTCTCTTTTTTTTTTTTCTCTCTCTTCCCTTC